CCTACAGCAAAAATCCCCCCCCCCTTTTTTTTTTAAAAAAAAAAAGATATAATAGACTCAAAGCAACTTTGTTAAATTCTTGCTACAAACTGCGGCTTAACCAAAGAGCTTTTAACAAAAGTTTCCTTTTCATTAAAAGAAACAGACTAGCACCAACCTAACTGGGCCTTTTTCCTTAGTGGGCTCAGAAGAATTAGAATGGGGACTTTCTCACTGTATGGTTTGTGTTACTTAATGCCATGTCAGTGCCCCATCCAGAATCAGGCCTTGTAACATTTTAATTCCACGCTTTGGGAAAGAATGTAGTAAAGTCCTTCCCCCCCTTTTTCTTTCTAGAAATTTTCAGTGATGTGTCATTGGGGTTGATGCCTTTGTGCCGTCTGAGCTGGGTACGGAGTCATTATCACGCTCGGAGCTTGTGGCCCCCACAAGGCTGGTATTTGCATTCCAGCCGATGTTGCAGTAACATGGCATTCAGGGCGGCATTCGAGCCTTTTTTCCTGAGAACCAGAAATGCATTTCTTCGGGAGCGGCATATGATCGCAGCTGAGAATGACGCAGGCCTAAACAAAGGGGAATTTGTCCTTTTGAAAGGAATTGGAAGAATCTCTGAGCTGGTTCACTGGGTTCTTCCAAGCCATGATGCTCTGAAGGGCAGCTGGGACCTCCCAATGGCGTTCTGCAACCACACAGCTCCTGGCTCACTGCTCATGGGCCCCAAACAGTGGCTTGTGGGTAAGCCCATGAGCCTTGGGCAGGCCCATAAGGGAGAAATGGAGAGAGAATGAGTGAAGGCAGAGAGGGGAGCTGGCAGAGAAAGGGGGGGCTTGTGTGTGGCGTGTCCACCAGAGGAGGTAGGAGAGTTGGTATAGTTGGTATCAAAAAGAGACTTCTTTTTTTTTTTTTTTTTTTTTTTTTTTTTTTTGTCAGAGAACACATGCACTCTCTAGAGAAAACAAGAGCGAGAAAGAGAAATGAGAAGCCTCTGTGGTATGGTCACACTGCAATTCCTTCTCCTTTATCTCTCCCTCCTTTCGGGACTTGGGTGCAGGTGCACGTACCCATCATGTTTTTCAAGCTGCCAGGTCCAGCACTTGAACTACCCAGCTGGCCATGTAGGATCCAACCACCTTAACCACCATAGCACTTGCTGACCCTAGAAAGGCTATTTTATGATTCTATTTCAGAAATGTCAGTGGATGTTGGAGCTATTAGGATGAAAGTTTCATGAGAGATGGGATCTTTCTGTTATCACAGAAGAGCTCCCACACGCCCATCCATGGACGAAACTTGAAAGGATGGAGTTGAGTGAAAGAAGACAGGCACAAAGTACCCATGGCGTGTGGTTCCATTTATACGAAATGTCCAGAACAGGCAAATCCAGAGACGAGAGCAGACGAGTGAGTGCCAGGCAGGGGGAGGGGAGAACGCAGATGACTGGGTAACAGGTATAGAGTGTCCTTTTTGGGTGACGAGGTGTTCTAGCACTAGATATACTAGGTGTCACTAACGGGAAATGTTTCAGTATATGTGTTTGAACACAATAAAGATCTCTTTCTGAGAAGTTACTTTTTCATTTCAAAGGAAAAATATACAGCGAGAGAATCTGGCAGACCACAGCCAAGTGACCAAAGTTGGCATTGCCAATAATGGGATGAATTGACTGGCAGTGGCCTCTGGTGGGCACGCCGAGGACACATTGCTTATATAGCA